CTGGCCAGATCCAGGAAGGAGTCGGTGGTCTCCTTGTTGCTGCTGACGCTCTCCAGACCCAGGCTGTTGGTGTTCAGGGCTCCTGCCCCCACTCCCGGTTTGATGATGAAGGCTAGGGTCACCCCGATGCCGGACGCGATCAGGGTGGTCACCAGAAAGTAGGCAACCGCAATCCCCCCAAGCTTGCCCAGCGAGCGGGTGTCCAGGCTGGCGGCACCGGAGACCAGGCTGCACACCACCAGGGGCAGGATGATCATCTTCAGCATCCGCAGCAGCATCTCTCCAGGGAAGGCGAAGTGGCTCATCTGGGCCCGGTCCAGGTCCATGCTGCGGACCAGCATCCCGAGCCCGACGCCCACCAGCACGCCGGACACCGTCAGGATCACCAGCAGGTTTCTCCGGAGGAACTGCCACAGCTTTTCCCTGCAGCTCTTCTGCAGCTCCTCTGTCTGCTCCAGAATGATCCGGTCCGTGGAGGCCGAACCGGGCATGGCGTGTCCGTTAACCTCGCTCTTGCCCCCCATTTTACCTCAGATGATCAGAGCAACGTATGGAGCCGAGTCCAGTTCAGACAGCGTGGGGAACACTCACGCGCGCGCACTGTGCTCTGCTCAGAGCGCACAGCCACTGGAGAGCCAATGGAGACGGGGCAACACTGCGGAGCATGCGCACAACGCCCGAACTCTACAGCAGGAGCAAATGATGCAAGAACAGGGGAGATTTGCAGGGTCTCTTTGAACACTGGGACGCTAAACTCGTGTCCACTCAAAGATCTTCCACCCGTCCTGGACCTTTGGACCCGGCTCTGCAGCAGAAACCTGGTTCTAAACACCCCGGATCCGGCTGCTCTCTGACAACCATGATCTTCTTAGGAGATGCAGCAGGAACATTGTATCCCCACATGTTGCATCACCTCATAAAGCAACCCCCCCCCCCCCCCCCCCACACACACACACACACACACACACTCCCCCATCGACCCCCGAGTCCCCCATAGTCTGTGACGATCCAGAAACCAAACCTTTTGGTTTTATTTATGAACCGTTAATGACAAAGGATCCATCAGCACCGCGGTCAGCGCCCTCCTCCTCCTAGGGGCGCTGTTTCACTCAGGGGTGGGCTTTTTATTTGGATTATTTAATTCTTTATTAATAATTATTCAGTTCACAAGAACCCACATTGCTTCATAGGCTTATGTGGCCCACATAGACATTTTAGGTCTCTGGGAGGTTAAAATGTCCTCCAGTCTGCAGGAGGAAGCAGTTAAACACACTTTACTGCAGGAACAGGAGGAATTGTTTCTGAGTAGAACTAAGAGAAACACGTTTAACATCTGGAATATATACATTATTCATCTATAACCTGAACGTTGTTAGTGATCATATTTCAGATATCATGTTTTTATCTGTTTCTCCTTTCAAAAATGTTATTATAATAATAATTTGTTTTATTTATAGGCACGTTTGATGACACTCAAGGTCACCTCAGCGTGGGGAACACTCACGCGCGCGCATGGTAAACCAGTAAGATGTCCTAAAGTAAATCAACAAAACAATAAAACTGATAACAAATGAGATTCACAAGCAGAAAGCAGTTTTGAACAAATATGTTTTGAGATGTAATTTGACAAGTGAAATCTAGTCAATGTTGAAAATCTCATGGGGAAGAGAATTCCAGAGGTGAGACTGAACGCTCTGGACCGCATGGTAGACAGAAGGGAGGGGGCACTGAGAGATGGATGGAGGAGGGTCTAAGACCACAGATGGGAAGAGATGGGCCACCACCAACCCGTCCACGTTTCTAATAGATTTTCCCCGCTCAGTGACGCACCCACTGACAAGCCGACTCTGATCATTGGCAGCTTCATAGTCAGAAACGTGGCATTAGAGACTCCAGCAACCATAGTTAAATGTTTACCTGGGGCCAGAGCGGGCGACATTAAATCTTATCTGAAACTGCTGGCTAAGGATAAGCGTAAATACAGTAAGATTGTTATTCACGCTGGCGGTAACGACACCCGGTTACGCCAATCGGAGGTCACTAAAATTAATGTTGCTTCGGTGTGTAAGTTTGCCAAAACAATGTCGGACTCCGTAATTTTCTCTGGCCCCCTGCCTGATCGGACCAGTGACGACATGTTTAGCCGCATGCTGTCCTTCAACCGCTGGTTGTCTAGGTGGTGTCCTGAAAACAACGTGGGCTACATTAATAATTGGAAAACTTTTTGGGGAAAACCTGGTCTGATGCGGAGAGACGGCATCCATCCCTCTTTGGATGGAGCAGCTCTTCTTTCTAGGAATATGGCCAGTTTTATTAGTCCTCCATGACAACCCAGGGTCCAGACCAGGAAGCAGAGTCGTAGTTTAACCCACCCCTCTGCAGCTTCTGTACTGTTACCCACCCACTACCCCATAGAGACAGTGTCCTGCCCACGGCCAAAAACACACAGATTAAATATCAGGCTTAATAAAGCAAATCATGGAAATCTCATAAATATTAGAACAAATTCAACTGAGCAGAAAACTAGAAAAATTAAATTTGGGTTGTTGAACATTAGCTCCATTTTTTCTAAGACTTTGTTAGTTAATGACTTGATTTGTGATAATCAGATCTCTTTGCTCTCTCTCAGAATCCTGGCTGCAGCAAGAGGACTATGTTAGCTTAAATGAGTCGACTCCTTCAAATTATTTAAATCATCATATTGCTCGAAGTACAGGGCGAGGAGGAGGAGTAGCAACCATTTTTCATTCTGACTTATTAATCAGTCCCTTACCAATTAATAGCTACATTTCGTTCGAACATCTTATTCTTAGTTTTCCTAATCCAAATTGCAAAACTGTAAAACCACTCTTGTTTGTAGTTTTATATCGTCCACCAGGCCCTTACTCTGAGTTTTTGGATCAGATCTCTGATTTTTTATCTGATTTGGTGCTAAATACTGATAAGGTCATTATAGTGGGGGATTTCAACATTCATGTGGACATTGAAAATGATAGCCTCTATGTAGCCTTTAGTAATATCATAGACTCAATTGGTTTCACTCAAAGAATACATAGCTCCACCCACTCCTGCCATCATACATTGGACCTTGTGCTGACTTATGGCACTGAGTGTGAGGAAATAACGATCTTTCCACATAATCCAGTCCTCTCGGACCACTTTCTGATAACCTTTGAGTTTTTTTATAACTGAGTTCTCGAGACATGAAAGTAAATTTCATTATAGTTGGTCTCTATCTGACAACGCAGTTGCGTCGTTTAAATCAACTGTTCCATCTTTACTGTCCTCAGCATCTCAGAGGAATGTAACAGAGGGCAATATTTTCAGTTCTAGCCCCTCACAAATTGATGCCTTAGTTCATCATGTTAATTCCTCTTCACGTGTGGCATTAGATGATGTAGCCCCTTTAAAAAAGAAGGTAATTAGGGACAGGAAGTTGGCTCCCTGGTTTAACTCTCATTTACGAGCCTTAAAACAAAACTCTAGGAAATTGGAGAGAACATGGTGCTCTACGTACCATGAGGAGGCCTACCTATCCTGGAAAAATAGTCTTGTGCTTTATAAAAATAAGCTTCAACAAACTAGAACTGCTTATTTTTCAGCATTAATTGAGGAGAATAAGCATAATCCTAAATTTCTTTTCAGTACAGTTGCTAAACTTACACAGAATCATAGCTCTGAGCCATCTATTCCTGTAGCCCTCAGCAGCAATGACTTCATGGGATTTTTTACAAGTAAAATTTATTCTATTAGAAACAAAATCTTTAGCATCCTCCCTAATGCGATTTCTTCTTCCTCAGTAAGTGAGGCAGCTTCAGAGGTGACTGTAGAACCTCATCTGTGCTTGAACCGTTTTGATCCAGTTGAGCTTTCAGAGTTATCAAAAATATTAGCTTCATCTAAACCTTCAACTTGCATTTTGGATCCAATCCCAACCAAATTATTTAAAGATACATTTCCTTTGGTTACTGCCCCCATTCTAGATACAATCAATCTATCCTTAGTAAATTGGTATGTACCACAAGATTTTAAGGTTGCTGTAATCAAACCTTCACTTAAGAAGCCTTCTCTGGATCCAGATGACCCAATGAATTATAGACCAATATCTAACCTTCCATTTTTATCCAAAGTCCTGGAGAAAATAGTGGCCATCCAAGTATGTCAGCATTTAAACACTAATGCTCCGTTTGAGGAATTTCAGTCTGGTTTTAGAGAGTATCACAGCACTGAAACTGCATTAGTGAGAGTTACAAATGATATTCTCACGGCCTCAGATAAGAATCTTGTGTCTGTTCTAGTCTTGTTAGATCTCAGTGCTGCCTTTGACACAGTTGATCACAATGTTCTTTTAGAAAGACTTGAACATGTTGTAGGGATCAAAGGAACAGCGTTAGGCTGGTTTAAATCCTACCTGTCTGACAGATTTCATTTTGTAAACGTACATGACAAATCGTCTTCATACTCCAGGGTTACTTGTGGAGTACCACAGGGTTCAGTGCTTGGACCAATTCTTTTTACTATATATATGCTCCCAATTGGTAAAATCATTAGACAGCATGGGATAAACTTCCACTGTTATGCTGACGATACTCAGCTATATTTATCCATTAACCCTGATGAACCCAATCAGTTGGGTACATTACAGGCTTGTCTTGAGGACATAAAAAATTGGATGACTCTAAACTTTTTGCGTTTAAATCAAGACAAGACGGAAGTTCTCATCTTTGGACCAGAAATCCAGAAAAGGAAATTACTTAGCCAATCGCCTGACCTTAATGGCATTACATTAATCACCGCGAACAAAGCAAGGAACCTTGGTGTTATCTTTGACCAGGACATGTCATTCAAATCCCAGGTTTCACAAGTTTGTAGGATTTCCTTTTTCCACCTTTGGAATATTGCTAAGATTAGAAGCATACTTTCCAGGAGTGATGCTGAAAAACTAGTTCATGCATTTATTACATCAAGACTGGATTACTGTAATTCGTTACTCTCAGGAAGTCCACAGAATGTAGTTAAAAGCCTTCAGCTTGTCCAAAATGCTGCAGCTAGAGTTCTGATGAGAATTAAAAAGAGAGATCATATCTCTCCTGAATTAGCTTCTCTACATTGGCTACCTGTTAAATTCAGAATAGATTTTAAGATCCGTCTTCTCACATATAAAGCTCTTAATAATCAAGGTCCATCATATATTAGGAATCTGATTGTTCCATATGTTCCTAACCGAGCACTTCGCTCTCAGACTGCAGGTCTACTGGTGGTTCCAACAATATCTAAAATTAGGATGGGAGGCAGATCTTTTAGTTATCAGGCTCCTCTCCTGTGGAACCAGCTCCCAGCCTTAGTCCGTGAGGCAGACACTTTGTCTACTTTTAAGAACAGGCTTAAAACATTTTTATTTGATAGGGCCTATGGTTAAAATCTGATGTTATCCGAAATCTGGACAAGTGGGGGAGTACAGGGAGGTGGAGTCTACAGTCGGCAAAGACGGCTCTCCCTTGCCCTGCCTCCAACATGCCTCCATCTAAATAGGATAGATTATCCAGAGTTATCTCTGTAGTTATGCTGCTATAGGCTTAGACTGCTGGAGGATACACTGACCACTTCTCACACTCTACTGCTTTCTTCTAC